GGGGGAAGAGGGGGCTGAGGGGGAGGGAATCAGAGAAAAAGGGGGCAGGGGCAGTGAGGGAAGGGGGAGGAACCAGGAGGGTGCAGGTGCCAGGAGATTCTGGGGGTGAAGCAGAAGGGCAGACACCTGCAGGGGAGGGACCAGCACCAGAGGAGAGAGACAGGGCAGGTGTGTAGAGGGAGGCGTTAGGAGAGGGGATGAGGAGGGTTAGCTCACTTGATCAGAGTGGGGCTACTGGAGGAGTGGGCACAGCGAGGAGAGAAGGGCTGCTGGAGGGGGCAGGTCTCAGGAAGGCTGAGGGCAGCGAGAAGGGCAGGAGTCGGGACAGCAGAGGAGGGTGAGGGCTTGGGGGCAGCAGGCACCGGGGAAGCTGATGGAGCAAGGGGAGGAGACCTGGCAGCAGAGGGAAAAGGCAGAAGTTTATAAGATATTTATTAATAACTTGGGTGATATTTATTAAGAACGTATTAGTAATTACTGTTCTTTCTTATTAGGAATTTATGCCATTAAAAAACTTTTTTTTGGAGGGGGGAGGGTGGCGAGTCCCTTTTTTGTCTGGCGAGTAGGGTTTTCCATAATTTGTCGAGCCCTGGGGATGAGGATGCAGGGATGGGAGGTGAGGGAGGGACAGTCAGGCTGTGGGGGGAAGGTGTCCTGGGACAGGGTGGGGATGGGAACTGGTGGGAATGGGGGCTGGGACCTGGGGTGAAGGTCAGGCCAGTGGCTCCTGCCCAAGCCCACTACCCTTCATTGTCCTCAGCCACAGGGGAGCTGCTGGGCTGCTTTGGACTGACGGAGCCCAACCATGGCAGTGACCCTGGGGGCATGGAGACCAGGGCTCGCTACCACCCAGCCAGCAAGACCTACGTGCTCAACGGCTCCAAGACCTGGTGAGACAGAACCTGGTTCTAGCAACTAGCCCTGCTCGTGGCCCTCGGCAGCCACCCGCACTCCAAGCCCTTGGTTCATCTCCACCACCTGCCCCGAGACCAGATCCACTGTGGGCCCCAGAACCTGGCGAGCCTCCCAGCTGCTGCACCCTGATAACCTCGGCCCATGGCTCAGCCAATCCTGGGCCTCTCCAGGGAGGAGGGCTGGGAGCCAGGACGCCTGGGTTTTATCCCTGGCTCTGCTACCGCGTTGCTGGTTGATGCTTCGTGCCCCTCGGTGCCTTGTTCACTCTGTTTGGCTGGTACCATCCTGCCTCCTTGGGGGGGGGGGGGGGGGGGGCTCTGAGATGAGCTGGGTCCCACGTCTCCTCTCAGGATCACCAACTCCCCTCTGGCGGATGTCTGTGTGGTGTGGGCCGTGTGTGAGGACGGGAGGATCCGGGGCTTCCTCCTGGAGAGGGGAATGAAGGGCCTGTCGACACCCAAGATCGAAGGCAAGTTCTCCCTGCGGGCCTCCACCACCGGCATGATCCTGATGGAGGACGTGGAGGTGCCTGAGGAGAACCTGCTGCCACATGTCTCTGGGCTCATGGTAAGTCCAGCCTCCTCTTCCCCCTGCAGCCGATTCTTGGGTCCTCCTTGATCTCGCAGGCTAAGCAGGGATGGCTGGGGTCACCGGCTGGAGCTGGAGGAGAGACTCCAGCTGCTGTCGGGAGCAGGGGCTTGCAGAGGGCACTTTCCCCATTGAGCCACTGCTGACTCCAGTGGAGTGCTAGGGGCACTGTACTGCAGGGGAATGGCTTTTAAAACAAGCCGGGCTAATCCAGGTGTCCTGGCCAGACCTGCCCCCCCTTCAGCTTCCCAAAATGAGACCTTCATTCTTCACTTCCTGCCTCGAGCGTGGTTGCTGTGCGGTTGATGAAAGCAGCTGTTGCTGGGCTGGGCCTCAGCAGGGGGTAAGAGAGTGCTGTATAAAACCGCCTCCACCATCCAGGGATCCACGGTTGAACAGCTCAGTCCTTCCCAGTGATGATTGATGCCAGTTGGCTTGCCCCTAGAAATGGGGACCCAAATCCCTCTGGGCAGAGAGAGGCAATGGCGCAGAAGCCAGCAACCCATGGACCTGTTTATACAGGGGGCTGGTGGAAGCGGAGGGCATGTGCTCGTTTGGCAATATTGCCTGGAGGTTAATGATCAAGGCACTGTCTTGTGTCCTGCCAGGGTCCGTTTGGCTGTCTAAACAACGCCAGGTATGGCATAGCCTGGGGGGCGCTCGGAGCTGCTGAATTCTGCTTGGAGACAGCCAGGCAGTATGTCTTGGACAGGTAATGACCAGGTGGGGGAGGGGGAGAACTCTGCGCCTGGAGTGGGTGGAAGCCCTATGTAGGATCCCTGTCTGCCTCCTTTTTAAAGGCACTGATCAACTCAGACCTGATGGCACCCAGGGGAGGGTCCTTGGCAGGAGGGGAAACTGAGGGAGAGACATGAAGTGACTCAACCAAGGTTGTGCAGTGGCTCCGTAGCAGAGCCAGCCGGGAAGGGGACCCAGGAGTCCTGACTCCTGGTGCCCCAACATCCCACCCCACTTGCTCTAACTAACCAACTAGACTCCAGTCCCCTCCCAGCCTCCTGGCCCCCTTCCCTAGCCCACGGGGGAGAAAGCCAACAGTTAGCTGTGAGAGAACACAGCCGAGTCCAGCAGTGAAGGGCTCCCATGGGGCTTGTTAGCTCTGTCCTGTCCAATCACTACCCGATTACATGGGGCACGTGAAGCTGTTTAGCTCTGTGAAGAACTTTCTGTTGTAGAGTGTCCAATGGAACTCTGCTTCGCTGGTTTCCCCTCCCACTGTGTGAGCCTCTCTCACTCTGTCTAGGCAGCGCCCAGCACAGTGGGGTTAGACCAGGAATAAGAGGGGGGAGGGGAGGTGGACATTAAGACTCAGCGATACCCCAGATTTTGGGGTGCCTTGCACAACTGCATTTTCTGTGTTTGGGTAAGGATAGCTCTGGGATTTGGGGTGGGGCTTTTGGATGCTACTTTACTACATCTATTACAATGCCCCATCCCAAGTGAAGGCAGTCACCAGAGGTGGATCTGCCCCAGGAGTTTTAAGTGACTGTTGCTCCTTGGTTTCCTGACTAAGCTGTCCTCCCCTAGGATACAGTTTGGGGTGCCACTGGCTCGGAACCAGCTGGTCCAGAAGAAGCTGGCTGATATGCTCACTGAGATCACCATTGGCTTACAGGCCTGCCTGCAGCTGGGGAGATTAAAGGATGAAGACAAGTATGTACCTGCCTTTCAAAACTAATCAGACTGAAAAGCTAGGGGTTGGTCTAGCCCAAGTCTGGGGTATGGGATCCGGGGCCTTACCCTTCCGGAGTGCACTGGCTTTGATCCAGCTCAGGTGAGGGGACTGGGGGCGCAGTGTGTTTTCCTTCTAGGGTGCACTGGCTCCGATTTCAGCGCCAAGTTAGGCTGGCTCATGCAGATGGGGATGGGCCACTTGTAGGAGCACTAGTTTGGATCCAGCCTACATGAGTAGATTAGAAATCAGCCATTCCCCTTGACTCAGCTGCTAGGTTTGCCCAGTGCGAAACAAGGGTGCTGGGTCTCTGCTTGGTGCCAACGTGGCACAAACCCTGGGTCCACCAGGGCCTCGTCCTTCCGCCTCAGTCCCAGTGATCACTGCTGTCGCTGCAGGGCCGCCCCCGAGGCGATCTCCATGCTGAAGCGGAACTCCTGCGGCAAAGCGCTGGATATTGCCCGCCAGGCCCGGGACATGCTGGGAGGCAATGGCATCGCCGACGAATACCATGTCATCCGGCACGTCATGAACCTGGAGGCCGTGAACACCTATGAAGGTAAATCTGCCCCCTTCCCCCACACACTCCCTTGTATCAAATGCCAGGGAGGGTCTTGGGACTTCCCACCTCCTTTGGAGTAAGGTTAGAGAGTGGGATGCTAGGGGGGTGCTGTGCTTCAGGGAGCATGGCAGGCCTCAGTGAAGAGCTTCTCCCCTCCAATCCAGTGTCCCTGCGTCGCATGGGGCCTTCACGTCCTGCCCTGCTGTCTCATTTGCCATTGCAGTATGCTGCAATGTTTTCCAGAGCTGGCTGCATTTTGGTGATTTGCTTTGCTCGTCGCTGATATAGCCTCTCGTCACCTTCCGAGGGAAGCAACCCCCAGCCGCTGTCTGAGGGATAATCTTGGCTCATGTTCATCCCTCTGACTTACACCTGATCTATCTGCAGGCACTGGTGTTTGTCGGGGCCAGAGGAGACTTTCATTTACAGATGTAGTTGCACAAGTACAACCCGAGTGAGGCCTTGACACAAGGGGAATAAGGCTGCTTTTTATGGGTATGGACTATTCCATTTCCCATAGGTTAGGAACTACACTGAGTTACACTACTACAGCTGTGTCACACGGGGAATGGTGGTTGTACCACTTTAACTTGACTGGCATGGCTGAAATGGTGTATTTTCTCACATAGCCAAGGCCTTGTATTAGTTCCTCTTTCACTAGTTTTCAGTTTACCATTTCTAGTTGCCTGGGTTTCGTGCTACAAAAGCACTGCTGGGGGGGGTCTGTTCCCTGACACAGGGATCCACATTCACTCCTGGCAGTTATGAGGTAAACCAACAAAGGAGCCAAAATCTGACTGTGGCAGCTCTAGAGCTGCCGTTTCCTGGCACTGAACCACAGCCCGTGTATCATGATTTCCCATTATCCTGAAGGTCACGCAGTGAGATCTTTATTCCTGTTTCTCTTTGCCCTGCAGGCACGCATGACATCCATGCGCTCATCCTGGGCAGAGCAATCACTGGACTTCAGTCTTTCACTGTTGGCAAATAAATCCAGCAGGGAGGAGGCACCAATCACCTCCACAACAGCCTTAATTTTACTACATTGGAAGAATGACTGTTGTATAATTTTATTCCTCAAGTTGAAGTCACAATCCAGGGGCTGCTGCTGTGACACAGGATCTGAGTGTAGCTCTTCAGGTTGACTCCTGGATTCTTACTTAATGTTCACTACAACTCGCTCCCGAATCAGCTAGCTGGTTTTCAAATTCAAGAATGTGGGAGAAGGTCGTCTTCTGCACTGCTTGCAGTAAAGGAGCGAAGAGACAGGCCCAGTAATAGACCATCTGTCTTCACCAGTTGTGCATTTGTATTGTAGGGGGTTAGAAGACAGTGACATGAGTGAAACTTCTGTGCAGTGGACTGTCACGTAACAAAAGTCAGTGGATTTGTGATGCTGGATTGGCTGCTTGGTGCATGGAGCTGTCTTGCTTGCTTTCTCCTTGAATGTAAATTCTGGAGTTGTGTGGGAAAGGCTGTCTGTCTCAACACAAGGGGAATCCAGTCTCTCTCAGCCGTGGTTCCTCTCTCCTTTCACTGGATGTCCAAGTTTGGCTAACTTGTTTCTCAGAATTATCTGACTTGATGCAATAGAGCATGCTGGGAGAAATCCCTTCTCTTTACAAAGCTGGGTTGTATCTGAAAAACCTGAATCTTCACACACAGTCAGGTCCCGGGCCATGCCAAATGGACATCTGCCCTGTGTAGCTGCTGAGAGAAACATTGTCACCGAGGTGAAGCAATGCTCTTCACTGTGCAGGCTGGGGGTCAGAATGGGGTTAAATTCCTTGCTCTGCCACTGGCCCACGGCAGGCAACTATGTGCCATAGTTTTCCCTGCTGTAAAACCTACAGAAGACCCACTCTGCATTTCTATTACCAAAATTCCTCTTTCACAGGAGCCCCCAGTTAATCTCATATCCCTTCGGATAATTACATGAATAAATTTTAGAATATACTGTATCTTTTTCTGTTTGGGGTGGCTAGTTTGTACAGCCTGCAGCTCTTTGCTGGATAGAATTAGACTGCTGAACAGTGTAAAGTGGGGCACAGACTGTTAACACTTGGTGGACAGTTCCTCAGGCAGTTGCAAAACAGAAAAAAATGACCCGCAATAGGCTGCGTTCAAATTTCACGCATCCCTTCACTCAACGGTCACTTTCTTGACTTGGGAAGATGGGTGTGACCTCTCTGTAGGTCTTGGAGGTGAGTGGTGAAGTCTGACCAGTTGCAGGGGGGCTGAGTGCAGACCAAGATGTTTAGTAACTTGCCATAAATGCTCCCACATTCACCAAGACAGAAGGATTTTAAATAGTCTCTCACCTTATGTAGATAAGATGGTGCTTTGGGAGCTTTGGATGGAGTCTTTCTCTAAATGATTTTGGATGCCCAACTTGACTCTCTTTGGGGCAAATTTTTCCAAAGAAACCAGGACCAGATTTTTCAAGTGTTCAGCCTCCAGCGTGGGAGCCAGATTTTTGAGACAGCTCAACGCCCGATGCCCCGAGTTCTTGTCATGATCTAGGCCAGATGGTGGATGCTGAATTCTCTTGACATTTCTGGCCCTCTCAGCTCTGGCTTTTTTATGAGGTGGCAGGGGTGGGGTACGGTGGTACAAGAACCTGCCAGAATGGCTGGCATAGCCCCACTGATGGGCTGGTGCTTTGAGTTTTCAGTGCACAGTCCATCATTGCACTAGAACCAGTTTGCGGCGATACCAGAACTGTACTGCGGTCTGTCTGCTAGCTGTGTTCAGCTTGCTGAACAGCTGGAGTCAAACTCAATGCTAGCTGAGGTAAGGGGGTTGAATCTTTGGTCCTTGACAAATAGGTTACAAGAAAAGAAAGGTTCATACAGGCAACTGCCTTGGCCTGTGACAATATGTAGCTCCAGATTTTTTTTTCCCTAAAGTGCTGCTCAAAACCCAACTCTTGACAGACTGGCTTGGACGGCTTGTGATAGGAAATGGAAATTAGACAGAGTCTGAAATGTGCCAGTATCAAGAGGATGAGACAACTGAGCCATTCTTGCTCAAGAACTTTCAACAGCCCCTCTACTCACTCTGGACTGATAAGCCTTCTTGTCCATCGTACCATTTCAGGTCTCGTGAGTGTGGCAAAAAGGCCCAGCGCATGTAGATGGGCTAAGACAACCAGGGCTGCCCCAACAGTTCTAAAACAGCTGTGTCCAGCACTGGGAAAGGGGACTTGTCTGTAAGAATAACATGCCAGTTTTCTGATAAGCTTGCTGTGATGGATGAAGTGGCTTCTCAGGACAGAAAGTGCTGTACTGCCATCTCTCCCCCTGCTGCCCTGGAGGTCTGATGGGTGGCAAAACAGGTTATTTTTTTCAGCCCTGCATGTGTAAATGGGCTCTGGTCTCTCCTTTTGAGAACTATGACAGGAACAGCAGCTTAGCCTCTGTTCTCCTGTAAAGAAACTGAGCAACAG